AAGATTAAATGATGATGATGATGGTGATAATTTACTCATTTGCTGTGTTTCAGCACGTAACCTTGTCGCCAAAGGTAACTTTTATTGTTTGTAAAATATGTAAATAACAAATATACGAATTTATCCGCAGCTAGATAGTCTATGACAGCTGATAAAATATATTTAACAACAAATATCCATTTAGAATTATGGATCCTGAAATAATATTAATATTGTGTTATGAAAAATAAATATCGCTTTGGTCATGATAATATATTGTCCTCCTTTTAACTTAAGAATGACTATGCGTAATCATTTGGAAAGAAATTAATGCTTCTAGTTCCAGTTGTATATTAGAATATAAAAATATATAAAATATGAAAAACAACGAAAATTACCGACGTGTTTTATCTTAAAACGAAGTGCATTTCTTTTGTATCAACTGAAGCGGTTATATGCTAGCCTGTCGCCGTAAATGACAAAACTTCTTCAAATTATTATCATTTAAAAGGTATGAATTTAGATTAGGTTTTACAAAAGCATATTCAGCCAAGGTGAATTGATGTTTGAAATTTTTTTATAAATCATGTTACACACGTTTGTTTGATAACGATTATCATTATCATTATTACTATTATTGTTATTATTATTTATTATTCTTATAATTATAATTATTATTATTATTATTATTATTATTATTATTATTATTATTATCCCTTTGTTTGTACAGCTTCAATTTAAGTATTGTCAATTTGAAAAAAAAATCATACAAAAAGGACAACATCCTTTTATAATGCACGATTAAATACAATCTGTAAAGAGAGACTTCCTGAAAGTATTATAAAATAAGAGGTATAGATATTATTAGTTTATTATACGTGATACTTACAATTAAACCCAAGTGTTTAAGTCCGGTGGCCGATAATTAATTCAAAATAAGATCATACTGGTCTTGTGTGCATGATTTATGAGGTTAGGATTGATCAGGTGATAAACGTTAAAACTCTGTCGATGTGTGTTGAGGCCTCAACAGACGGTAGGATTTTGAAGTACAACACCAATTAAAACTAAGATGTACAGACAAATCTTAATGTGTGAAGGCTACTATTTCTTGATTTCGGAAACCTTATGTCTAGATGTAAGGGATAGGACATGTTCTATTTTGAAAATCTTGTCGTACCGATTTTTATAGACCTCCCACAATGATAAGTAACAGATAACCAAATTATCTCCTGATAATGGGTGTAATGAATGAAATTCCAGAACAGTTAGGGCTAAAAGGTAAACATAGTAGTAAGATGGGGTAAAAATGATGTTGAAAAACTCTGATGGGGTAAAAATGATGTTGAAAAACTCTTCAGGAGACCCAAAGTTGTGTTATGTTCGAATCCCAAATTATTCCGAAAATGATTATGCCACAGTATTGAATTGTTCTCTAATTAGGGGAGGGGAGGTAGTTTGTAGGCGGCCAGATAGCTTAGTCAGCAGAGCCGCAGTACGGTATTCCGAGGGTCCCAGGTTTAAGTCTCGGTTAGGCTTCACATTAAAAAAAAATATATATTTTTTTTTAAATGGAGGTGTTTCAATCATTACTCATGGCGAAAAAGTATTTAGTGAGTAAAAGTATGTAAAGGATCAATGTAATTGGCGTCCTTTTTAGGGGAAACCTCAGATTCTTACTGTGTAGAATTACCGTCTGAATGCAAGTGTTGTATAGCTTTGAAAATTGTACATCTTATCTCTAATTAGTGCTGTACAACTAAATCCTATCGTCTGTTGAGGCCTTTAGGTACAACTCATCAATGTACATCTACGAGTTAATTTTGATCTTTCAAGGTCATTGCATCAACTTTATTTGTTGTCATTACAAGTACCAGTGTCTGTCCTGTGATATCATGATGCAGAAATTATAGAAGATGTTGAGGATATTACTAAAAATAATGCAAAGTCAGCATCCTTCAATTGAAAAAAAAAATGGATGAAAGCGGTCATAGATAGTAAAATGCCATATAGTATTTCTATTTTTAATAAGGAAAATACAACTATGCGCAGGCAATTTAAACATTTTTACATTTAAAGTGGAAAATCATGTTTAAAATCTCTGTTCTGCTTTTCGCTGGAATTGCATTTACCACTGCCGTTCATGATTGGTAAGAACTGAGTGAAATTCTAGAAAGGGGAAATAACTCTCTAGAAATTAAAACAAATCGCAAACTAGGTTTATTGTGTCTATTTATTTGAAAGAATGAACAATGCAACATATTACACCTTTAGCACCTTCTTACGTGGTTTCCTGACGGAACAGAAAAATATATCATTACAGAGAAAATACGGAGGTTCCAGTCTGTAACACTCTTTGATTTACCGTTCTCATTTTTAGGCATTCATTAATGTTTCAATATTCTTAATCACTATCAATACCATACAAAATATAGGGATGTTAAGACTTAGTGGTTATGACCTAAACATCTCAGTAAAAATCCTGACCTATCTATAATTTATTAAAAAGTCAAACTTTGAGGGCTGTGATACTGTTTTCGTTTTATCTACTTTTTTACAATTGATTTTATTATCACAGTGTCTTTCAATATCCAATGTACAGAATGAGTTACAATTATGTGTTCAATTCAACCACTATCCTATGTTTAACATGTTGTTTTAGTAGAAAGAACATTGACTTTAGTTGTAGTGTTAAACATGAGAAAAACATTGCCACTCTCTTGTTATATTCACTTTGTTACAATAAAAGCAATGTTTTGTGGTCGTCCGTTTGTACGTCCGAAAACAGTTGTGGATTGCACCGGTGTATGGACTGGATTACTATGTACCATAACAATTCTGCTAGGCTGAGTATTAGCTGAAACAGAAACCGTGTTATGGTGAAAATAACAAAAGTCGGTCTAGGTAACATATATTTTAATAACATTTTTTTAAATTTTTCATAATAGGATTTAATGTAAAGCTTGATTATTCTAGCGAATAACCTATAATAGTTTTTGTTCATAAATTTATTTGAAATTCAAGCTGTTTCACTTCACTTATAAAATATGTTTTTTACAAAATGTATCAACAATAAAATTAAACTGGTGTCTTAATATTATTGTCGATTCTCGAAAGATTGGTATCATAAAATGTCTCTGTTATTTAAAATAGAGAGAATTAAAGAATCCCTTAAGAAAGCCCAACAAGACAATATTGAAAATGTTGCCGGCTCGGTTTGATTGAGCCTGTTTATGGACGGTACTGAAAAGTGCAAGTTACCGTCCACGCCCCCTAGCACCGGCTTAAGCAGAATTCACGTTTAATCATGGTAATGGTGATTTTTTTGAATTTAGAAACATTTTAATTCACATGAATTTATTACTAAACAGGATAAAATGTTCCATGACAAATTATTATTATACTATTTTAAAAACGGTTCTATCCGTTTAGAAATGACATCGTGCATCCACCATCTCTTTTAAGGTAATTCGCTATCATTTTTATTTTTTACAAGCATTTCGTAAGGTTTCTTTTAAGAATTAAACAATTATTTTTGCAGCAAATACATGTATATTGCTTTATACACTTTAATGAATATTATAAAACCACCAGCTTGCAATTACTACTACTACTACTACTACTAATGTCCATGAACAGACTCAATGTTCCAACCACTTGCCCCTCACCGCTGTTGGTTCGAATCCTGACAGGGACTTTGGATTCTTTCATGTGAAAAAGCTATCCAGCTAGCTTACGGAACGTCGGTGGTTCTACTCAGGTGCCCGTTCGTGCCTGCAATAATGCACGGAAGGGCACCTGAGGTCTTCCTCCACCAGTAAAACTGGAACGTCGCGATATGACCTATACTGTGTCGATGTGACGTAAAACCTAATCAAAACAAAAACAAACAGACTCAATGCACCATTTTCAATTTCGTCCATTTTGGCGATCTTTATGAATTCTGTTTTTCTCTTTTCTATTTCTATATACTAGGTATACATGAATTTTGTTTGTCTCTATATGATGCTTATCAAGTACAAGTTAAACCAACCTCTGATTCGTGCACGTCTTCGCTTCCATATGAAAACAGCGACAGGAAATGCCACACACACCGCTATGATGAGTAGAATATACCACCAGCTGATGTTCACATTTGTGTGTTTGTATGTTTGTTCGTTCTGTCTGGTTTTGTAAAATTTATACATTATAACGTCAATGTATATAAACATATATATATAGTTATTGTTTTAATTGAATTGTATTATTCTTGCTACTCCAAGTGAAAATAACGAATGAATTGTACAAAAGTCATATCGAATTGAGTAAATCGATTGCAGAAATGAGCAACACGTAAGCAAAGGACTAATATATTTTTAGTGAGTTAGTTTGGTGCATACGGCTGTTAAGACTGAGTCTGCAGCATTTTTATTTTTGCCATTTTTAGCGTTATTTAGGGATTACGTTTTTCTCATTATATTTTAAACCTCATGCGAATATTTCCGGGAAAGTCTTTGTAAGTTTAAAATAAGTTTTGAGAATGACGACCTGTCTAACGTATTGAAGCGACTTTTAGCTTTCTTTGATATATATAAGAATAAGTACAAAAATACATAAAAAAACTCATTTGTTTTTGATTTTCGGTATACATAAGACATCAAAAATTCTACTGTGTCATAAGTTACTAAAAGGATACGGGTTAATGTGATGCATGCAGTTTTTTATGAGGTAATTTTGTGTTCCCTTCACGAAATGTTAACTCCTTAATGGGAAATTCTGTCACATTTATTTTCTTTCATTCAGTTTTATACAACAGTCGTATGTATTAAATTGCCTTCAATTTTACATGTTAGTCCGTTTACTTTACGTGTTTACATCTGAATTGTCCGCCATTTCGTTTAAAACCAATACATGCGCTTCAATTTGATTGATGCATAAAGATCAATTAAGTATAGTTTTGATCATGCTCATATATAAATTATCATAATATGATACTTACTCTTGAATAACACAAGCACCATTTTTGCAGACTTTTTCAGGTGAACAACACACGTCTCCAGTACAACATGTACGTGCGTTGTCACAATATTCTGAACCGCTGCAACAGTCTGCCCCATATGGCATACATTTTTTACCGCAACACTCCTGTCCTTTTTTACAGTAATGTACATACATGCTTCCCCATAAAGCTTGAAAAAACAAAACAAATGAAATGGTCATATGACCCAGTAATTCAGCATGAAACTAAACTTTTCTATACATAAAAAACTGAAGACGTGTTGTTTAATATTTTCATTTTGTTTTGCTAATACTTCCTCAAAGAAAATATGAAAATGTTCTACTTAATATTCTCCTATATGCTCAAATAATCATTCTGATTTTTCATAGGTCCAGATATGCACGTTCTAATTGGTAAATATCAAATAGGCCAGATAATAGAATATAATTTCAAGTTGTATGCTGCATGTTAACGATTTCTATTCATTTCACAACAAATCGCAAACCTATCTACTTTGATTGCGGAACAGAGGTGAATGTTGATTCTGAGGATTTTATTATAAAACTAATTCTGATTTGGCATATGTGGGTTGGTATTCAAAACTAAAGGAAAAATCTCTACGTACTGCATTTAACTAGTTCTGATCGTTCGTAACACATCCCGTCATTTCCGCAGATCTGTGTGACTAAAACAAAACATCAACAAAACTATATTAACAGTGCTCCTGCTACTGTTACATGTACTGGACTACTGGTACAATAAATCATTGTGATTATATAAAATTTAAATGACAATAAACTAGGTAAAAATAAAGGAATGGGGAACAGTTAAGTAATATATGTAAATTTTATATTTAAAGACGCTTTTCTTTGAGAACACGTAAACATATTAATAATTTTAAAACAGTCTTCGGGATCATTGACTCCAGTACTTTTTAAGTGTTGAGAATTGACTACTGCTCAAGCCGGTGCTAGGGATTTTGCACTTTTTCATTATCACTCACGTACAGCTTCAATTCTTATATAATATTGCTGCTTTTTATGTTTCCAATCGATCACTTTTTTCCAGATTTTATGTGAATTATTTTCATTATTTATAACTATGGATGAGCATTATAAATCATCGTGACAAGTTAGCAATAAAAGGTAAGAATACAGCGTGAATGAGGAATACTTACATGTACATGTCTCATTGCAGACGCCGGCAGCTTCTACTGTAGACAACAACGCTAAAAAGGGTGAGATAAAATAAAATCTACTTATTCTGTTCTTACAGATTATTTGAACAAATAACTTATATCCAGGAAATGTGGCCTATATTTACAGGATAAAACGTTCACAATCAAACACAGTTTATAAAAACGTATCTCCCTTTAATAAGCTGAATCAGTTGATATGATAAATAACAAAGTATGAAATACATGTATATAAGAGTTCTTATCATTGAAACGTTTTATTGTAAATATCATTACTAAATGAAATTTATGAATATATGATTTATTATATGAAATTACAATGTTCCTATGTTACAAAGATTTATTTATTCGTGACGATAATTTGATCTCATTGATCAAACCCGTCCGCAATGAAATGAATTTTAGAACGATTAAAATGAATCATTTAAAATATATAAACATTTAACAATAAGTCAGATAACTAAAATAACATTTGTATAATTTTGTTTCTTGTTATGTTATTAGACAGATTTCAATTTTTATAAAATTTATGAAAATACTATGATATTGCATACTCCTTTGGTTTTGAATATGTACAAATTTAAAATAAAAACAAAAACGAACATTCTTTTTGCTTTGTTCGGATGAATTGCATGATCGAATTATTTAATGAATATAGTATAATTAAGATATCATTAAAAACCAGTAAAGCGAAAAATGTTGAGCTTACCTGTACAAATAAACGATATAAACAATATTTTCATTATATGAATTTTTAGAGATATTATTATGATTTTCTCTCCAAGTATTGCTGAATGATTAAACAATAATTTATAAATCGTAGTTTTTCCTTTTTAAGAATGTATTGTGACGTAATGTATTGACAGGATGTAAACATAACTAACATGCATCACGCAATTCCTCATCAAGATAACATGTTTATAATTAACGAATGTCATTACGACCATTGCCGGTGACTATTGTTCAAAATTATTAAGTAATGCTTTGATATTATTATTGTTAGTTATAGGCCATATAATATGACCAATATATGGAAATAAAAATATTCTAATTATGAGATAAATCGGCAGTAATCATGGTTTCATAACATGTAATGCTTTAGCTTGCCTAGTCAAAGTTATTTGGTCAAGGAAATTTTAGCAATTTGAAATAAAGTTATCATATGCAGCAAAACAGAAATACAAACAACACCGATACATTACAAACGGACACACTTCTTGACAATAAGCGACAAAATTTATCATTTATAGATAGTATCAGTGTACGTTTTACGTGATATTTACACTAGAATTCAAGTGTTTATGTGCGGTGGCCGACTATTTGTTATGGTCCAGTGCATAATATTATAGGTTGATAATGAACTTAATTACTACCTACCACACGATAAGTCATCAAAATTTATTGATAAACAATTAAAAACATTAACTTCCCGAAGAAGACATGCATTCGTTAAAACATCAACTGAATTACTTATATAGTTAAAAAACTGCTCTGAAGTAAACGAAAATTTGACTTGCGTGCCTATCGGGAGATTAGGGAATGACCCAGTTATAGGAATTATTTTCTAATACAGGGAAAAGCTTGATAGATTATTTGCTAATATAATACGAGTTATTTCCCTTTGTATATGATTTTATACTACATAATTTGTTTACTTTTAACATGTACATGTACAGCTTGATTTTATCTTAATAATTAATGTATTGGTATTGATGTATTGAAATGTCACAATAAAGATAGTGATAAGATAAATAATAATAAAGAATTGATTGAGAATGTAATTATGAACATTAATATGATTGTGAATAGTGTTATTAGAAATAATGTGGAATTAGATATAAGTATACGGAACATATCATATGTGTTATAATCAATATCATTCAGTATTTTTATGAGTCAAAACATGCCAGAAACAATACAAGTAATAGAACAAAAGATATAAAAACTCCTGGTTTAATTAAAAATGTGATGACACTAGAAGAAAGTTCAAACGTGCAAATAAAATTATTGTAAAAAAAGATCGAATTAAAATATAAAAATACTTGTTTACAACAAACTTATTTATAGAATTTAAACGAGAGATAGAAAATGTCATTTTAGCTGGCATACAGCCGCAAATGTTTTGGAAAGATAAAAATCAAATAAATAAATCTAGCAAAAAAAGAATTGTCATCGGAAGATTTTTTGAGCATTGTACAAACTTGTTTTCAAATGATGAGATATCTTTAAAATAATTTCGTTAAGGAATATTTTGATGATAATGATATATTTACAACAACGTTGAAGAACTTGACATTGATTTCACAGTAGATAATATGACAAAGGCTATTTCTTCCCTTAAGAGTGATAAAAGTGCTGGTATAGATAAACTTATTCCAGAGATATTCAATAAATATAAAACAGTTTAGCACCAATAATATGTTTATTGTTTAATCATATAATTACAAATTTAGTGAATATCCCGAATCGTGTTGTAGTGGTACATGTATTATTGTACCAGTGCCCAAGAAGTTTAGAATAATAACAGGGCTATCAACCTTACTGTTATATATTTTCTATACTTTTCTTTTACAATTAGGTAAATGGGCCGAAAGAAGTGAAATATTGAACGCTTTCCAGTATGTGCTAAGGGAAGATTAACATATACATATTATTGATACCATTCTTGTTTTAATTTCATTTTTTATAAAATAATTAAAGATGCAAAAAATAGGTACATGCATCTTTTATGATTTCATTTTTAATATGTTAAATAAAAATGGCATATGGCTTAATTTTTTTTAACCAGGTGTATCATATAAATTTATAACAATGTTACAAAGTAAGTAATAAATCTTTATTCTTGTATTAGAGCAATTGGTTGCTTGTCAGATAATTTCGAGAGTTAACAAGGGACAGCTACTGTCACCTCTGATATTAATTTTCTTTATAAATGATATGCATGAAAATACAAAAAAATATTTTTGATACATTTTCAATATATGATATACACATATTTTTGCTGTTGTTTGCGGACAATACAGTTTTATTTTCTTATACTTAGGAAAGTTAACAATCTGGATATATATTGTACTAAATAGGGTACTGTGGTGAATAAAGATAAAATGATTGTAAATGTTTTTAAATCTGGACATAGAAATAAAATTGAGGAAGTTTATTACAATAATGTGCTACTTAACTTTAATTAATTAAGTCATTCATCTATCTTAGCGTTACATGATTGTCTTCTGGGAATTATTAACGAGCCAAAAAGGCTTTTCGAGTTAAACGTTTGAAGCAGTGTAACACCGCACTTTGGGGTCAAACGCACTTTGGGGTCAAAATCGAGAAATTGACCCCAAAGTGCGTTAATATGCTACATATCAACGCACTTTGGGGTCCAGAGGTCTAAAGGTATCATCTGAGTTCTGCTTAAATACTGAGTACTCACTTATTTTCGATCTGCGACATTGAAATATTTGAGGTAGGATTCAAGATGGAGGTCAATACTAAATGTTGCTTAAGTGATAAAAGTTTTATTAATTTTACCACTTGAAATATTTAAAAAGTGTGTTCATGTAAAAAAATTACGGTGGCATAAAAGTGGCATTAGCATTTTTATTCAGTTTTGCATACATATTTTTTTTTAGTTTTGCATTCATATTCGTACATATTTTATTTTTGTTTTTCGTAAATATTTTAGCCAATCAAAACAGCCTTCACATCTTATAACAGCCTATAGTTAAGTATAAAACTAGCACAGTGGTTTTGGTCACATTTCGGCCCATTTTTGGAATCGGCCCAGTCGTTTTCGGCCGGGCAAGTCTGGTTTCGGCCGACCCTTTTGGGCCCATTTTTTTTAAATTATATGTATTTTATATAATTTTTTCATTATAATATACTATTATATAAGTGTCTATTTGATAAGGGCTGTTGATTGGTGATCAGTTATTATCCCATGAATATGCACCACTCAAACACCTTGTGTCAAATGTTAACCACATCCAGACCATATGCAGAACCTTTCATTGGGTTACTGCGGACTATATATAGATATTGTTATTATTTTTATGATGCCTCCAAAAATGAAAATGTTGGTATTTGCAAATGGCATTTAAAATGGGGTACTGTAATTTGCAGAAGGTGAAGTGTTTGATAATGGTGTTTTATAAATGGCGTAATTATTCAAACTTCTACAATGCAAATGGCGTCATGTAAAAATATGTACGAAAAAAAAATAAAACATGTACAAAAAAACTAAAATAAAATATGTATGCAAAACAAAAAAGTATGTATTCAAACCTAAAAAAAATGTACGACAAACAAAAAACAAAACAACAAAAACTATGTACGAAAAACAAAAAAAAAGTATTAAAAAAATGCAAATGTTACTTTTATGACACCGTTCAAAATACTTTTGTACATAAATTATGTATTCCTAAAATTAAAAGATGCTGCGAAAAATATCCCGTTCTGTCAGTCATTTACTTGATAATTTTTGGTGCCATAATGAGCTCCATTTTAAATATGTTGGAATGAAATAAAATGCTGTTTGCATTTTTTTCCGAAGAACTATAAATATACTCTATTGCAATGTTCTGGTGAAACATCAAGTTTTTCGATCGGACTATATATAGTGATTTTTACAAATACATTATTAAGCTTATCAACAAACTAAAGGGTTTTGTAACAACTGTTCGCTAGAGGTTTTTTTATGGGAAATCTTACATATTCTAAAGAAAGAGCAAAGTTAACATGAATTTTATAATGTTAAAAAAAATGGTATCAGAGAAATGTAAGATGCTTGTAATCTGAATAAAGGAACGATAAATGTGAAATTATTTGCCATAAAAGTAGTCGAAACAATGTAACAAAAAGCAAAAGATGAAAAAGATGGTCCAGGTAATTGCCCAATATGTATTTTTGGATAATATAGAAGAACATCAAAATAAAAAAAAAAACTTTTAAGAAAAACAAATCAAAGCAAAATGGACGTTTAAAATATTATTTTTTTAACCCTTAAGGGCGGGGGATCGATAACCCACAATCCCCTCTTTACCCTCAGTGAGAATTTTACATTATTCTGAAGCTCCGCTCTTAATGTGCGACTACTTAAATAGTTATTTTGGTACTGTCTGTACGGACTACTACTTAAAGCCGCATCTACACCTAGTCAAGTTTCTTATATGTCACATTTAGCTAAATGAATGGCTCTTTCAACATATTATCAGGCAAATTTTTTACTGAAATGTCTAACTAAGATAACCCATAATTTATAACTTTGTCTATGCTAAGACTATCATACACTTAACAAATCTTATAAGTGTGCACCTTTTATGTCCTTGTAACTTTTTCGTTTATCAATAATATATTTTGACAAAATTTTGTGTTCTGACTATTGGCTGCATTTCCACACATTTCATGTGCTCAAGCATGTCAATTTTAATTATGAGATGCATTCAACCGGTACCATGAACGAACGATATTTACACAATGCACGAACAAATTGTGAGAATGGGTGGAATAAGATTGCACATGATATCTCGGATACGATAGAGATCGGCATATCAGAAAAACACCACATGGGCAGATTATCTATACAACATCGTGGCATAACCCTAAGATTGGTCAACGTTGGTGTGCACCAAACAGAGGTTGGTAACATTATGTATTTCTTTAAATAATTATTTTAATTCCTTTGCATTGTAAAAGCCGAAAAACATTTAAATAAGACGAACATAAATGCATATTTTTATTTAGTAATTAATTGTCTGTATCATTTGTAGGTTGCGCCTGGCATGAGTGTACACCAAACTACCTAAGAAGGCTAGTCATTAAGTACAGCAACTTCTTTGGTAACCTTCCTCACCAACCCCAAAATTATCTA